GAGAAACCCTGTCTCGAAAAAATAAAAAAAAAAAAAAAAAAAAAAAAGATATACCCCACTGTATGTGTATCATCCACACCCCACACATCCACATACACACCACACATCACACACACCATACATCACACATTATATATACTACACACACACACACACATTTCTTTCTTCTTTCTTTTTTCTTCTTTGTTTCAGATCAGTGCAGCGCCAAGAGCAACCTCCACACCCATTACTACTAACTCCCTGTGCAAGCAGAGGAAGACAAGCCCCTGTGGTAGCTGGGGTGTGACCCGTATGGGGTCCCTGGGGGCCCAGTATCAGTGGCGCTCACGGCTTCCTCTTCGCTGGATGCAACAATATATTAAGGGAGAAGAGAGGAAAAAAAGAGGTTGGCTCTTTTCATGATTTTCCTTTTTAAATTTTTGTTGAAAGAGGGCTGTGTTCTCTTGATCCTTCAAACAAATGGAGGGGAAGTGGAAGCCCAAAGATTTCTCTTCTGTTCCCCGGAGAGGGAGGCTGTGTTTGTAGTGCGCCATGTGGGAAAAGTCCTTGTGTATCTGCTGTATTGTCATGCCGCACCAAAGTGACTTGCACAGGGAAACACAGGTCAAAAAAGATTTCTATGTCAGGGAAGGAGAAGGAGCCATGGCCTGGAATCAAAGACCTCAGTTTGTCCTTCATCTCTAAGACCTCCCCACTCTCCACCCTCCATCTTTATCCCACGATGAAAGAAATGCAAGACCGCGCTCTGAGCTTGACCCAAACAAGTCATCTGAGCTGAAGTCCTTGTTACTCACAATGCCCCTTGTTTCAAAGCAGGTGACAGGGTGAGGGTTTGGCCGAACTATCCATAAATGGTAGAGGCCACAGGGGGCGGGGCTGTTCTGGCATCGTACCTAAGAACCCTTTCTAACTAATGCTTGCCATATGCAGCGAGGCTTTTCGCATAGTGGATCTTAATGAACGAATGGTCTTTGGAAGGAAAAGAGATACATTAAGAGGCATATGGGAAAAACGCAAGGCTATTGCTTCCAGGCCAGTGATCCTTCGTAGTAAGCTGACAAATAATTTTGTTTCTTCCTCTAGAAAGTGGGAAGAGTGAAATCAGTCTCCAACCTTGCAGCAGAGGCGGGGAGGGATGAGGGAAAGCCCATCCTTCATTCTAGGCTTGCGGGGACAACTGTGTCACTCATGGTGTACGGAGAGCTTCCCTTCCAACCTGGAGCAAGTCTAATGAAGAAAATGGCTTCACGTGGACTGGCAGGTTATTCAAGTCAGAATAATATGTAAAGCACCCAGCTGTCATTTTGCAAGACGGTGTACATACAGATTCGAGTCAATTGCCATTTCTGGCATTTTCAAAACCAATTGAAAATAAAAGAATTATGAATTCTTTGGCAGTGGAAAATTCCTTCTGGGAAGGAAAAGCAAAACTCAAGGCAAGGTTATGCAGAACTTTAGAAACAGCTTTTGACAATGCCACCTCCTAGGGGATGTTCAGTAAACATTCCTCAAGGGACAATGCTGTTCTCTGAAGAGAGCACAGCTGACGGAGGCCCAGTCCCTCAGCAATCACCCAAAGCCCCCATCTGAAGATGCAGATAATTTCCTGGATTGTCAAGGGCTTGGGTGTCTCCCACTGCCCACCTCCCCCTGAGCTGAAGGAACTCTGGACTTTCGCTCTCAGGTTTATACTCAAATGTTTTGCTTTCCTCCAGAAGTCGGCTCACTGGGCAAAGGGCTGGGCCAGGTTGTAGAGCACTTGGACTTTGGCCACAGCCACTCCGTCTGAGTCTCCCTGGGTCATTGCGAGAACACTGACAGACGGGTGTATGGACTTACCCGGAAATCTTCAAGAGGATGTACGCAAAATGCTGCTACTCAAAAACGCACCTCCCTTCACAGTGGTAATTTTTTGATACAGGGTCTATTG